TTATATTATATTATATTATGGTATATATAACATTGGAGTGCACAGCTTGAAACCCTGGTGCCAAGACAAGAAGACCATACCAGTTGAAAACTGAAGGCTCAGTGGGAGGTCTTGCCATGCAGTTGACAGCGCTGAAACTGGTATAGCAAGGGAGTGCCACCGGCTGAAGTCATGATTGAGTTGATCTGTGTCAATGTGAGGTTTTACAGGGACAGTCTCTGCAGATGGTGATTGAGGTAGTCGCCAGCCTTGAACAATGCATTTCCTTCCTCCTGTTCGTCTGCCACATCATTTACATACAGGCACCCGGCAAGGGCAGCAGTGAATAAGATCTGCAACGAAAACGCAAAGAGTGCAGCTTCCCGAAGCTGTAGATTCTTGCCTATAGGCTTGCACGAAGACTCAACGGAGGGCCCGGTCAATGCCTCCACCTCAACTTTCGAAATGGCGTTTGAACAATGAGCTCCTTCTTGCGGAGGAAGGCCTCGGAAGTTGCCGCCTTGCTTTTAGAGGCATCCTTCGTGAAGACGGGCACCTTAGCGCAGAGTTCTGGTGGCACGCCGCACTACCTCACGACCTAGAAATCTCCAGACGGCAGCAAGAAGGAAGAAGGCAGACCAAGGTGTCCAACTCATCTTTTAGAAACCTGGTATAGTGTCGACAGAACTGCGTGAGCCAAGCCATTTCCTCTGTTTCCCCGAATGGGAGCTGCTAGCCATTAGTAAGACCTCACTTGTCCCAAAACTCCGACCAACTGATACCGCTAAGCAGTCTCAAAGACGGGAATTCCGGGTTCAGAGAGCACGCAAACACGATGATCGCGGATGGCGATTTAAGCCGCTCCGGTGCCGAATGATTCAGACGTGGGGTTCTTGACTTAACGCCATCAGAAGATGCAAGGCTTTGCGGAAGGCTAACATCAACCCTCAGCTCACCCCCGTTACTTGCCACAAACCCCACAGAGATTCGGATGCAGTGGCTGGTTGCCCGTTCTCCGCCGCTGCGAGGATGGCATCTACTTCGCCTGGATCCATCTCGCACCCCGTGACTGTCCAAACAATTTGCAAGCTCTTTGGCTGACGATAAGATTCGGCTCCTACCGGTACTGAGCACAGCAAGGAACCCTGGCATGGTGGCTCCTCCGATGGGCCGGATATGGCGTGACGCGTGTGCATGCAGCAGAAATGAGTCAAGGATAGGCTGTAACTGTAGAGTTCTGCAATGTCCGACATGCTGAAGTACCCTGCTATATGCTGTCAATTCCACTAAAATTAGCCAGTTGTTGTCGGGGACAAATTCGAACCCGCATGCTTTGCCATAGCCTGTTCGACTGTACGGCTTCGGCAGCCTCCCCATCTACGACGCACACGGATGTCGTCCGCATTGGATTCTCCGCGGTCGCACAAGCTAAGCAGCTGAGGGTAAGCTCGGGTAGTTTAGGAAGCAGCCGCATCCCCCCATGGTTTGCAAACAACACGAAACACACATTTTTCCGAAAGAGCGCCATGGCAGACGAGTTCGATGGCAAGTGCTTGCACTGCACGGTAAAGACGCAACTAGCCGTAGCTGGTTCAGCTACCAACCAGCTGATGATATATTTCGAGGTAGCCCTACACTCAAATCCAGAAAAAGCACAAGAGTAGAAATGAACCCCGAAACAACCCATATGAGCCCCCTGAGAGCCCCTGGACCCCGGTTAACCCTTACTGCGATTCTGTTCTTTTGCGCAAAACCACATGATAGAACACCAGCAAGGCCCTAGACCCCTACCCGCAATCCTAAACCCATCTGGTGCCTTGGTCAATGGGTACCGAGAATTCACCCGGCGAGTGCAGCGGAGGCCCGCCAGGCGAGTAGGGAAGCCACTGCCAGACCATTCCTGGCTTCGGTCGCTTTATGCTTATTATTCTTTGCATTGCTGAATTAACACTTTGTTTTTTCAATTAGCATCACGCCAATTGACATTGCAATCGGAGGCTTCTGTTCGTCATTAACACACAATATTCGTTCAGAGTATTCAGAAACTCTGCTTCTTTTTGCGGCGGGGGGGGGGGTTCCTTTTAAGACTCTAGAGGACAGGGCTTAACATGGCTTTGTGGCCGTTTAGGATTTAGGGCTTAGGGTTGAGGGTTTTGTTTCCCTCTCGCATGGCTGAGGATCTATGCCCAGGGTTAGGGGTTTTGGGTTGCAGGGCTTTCGGGCTTGAAACTTACGGCTTGGGGGGTTTCCTGAAGCTTGACTCCGGCTTCTCAAGGGTTGTCTATGTGTGGGTTTACGGTTTAAGGCTTAGGGTTGCCAGGACTTTGGGTTTAGGATTTAGAGTTTAGGGGGTCCAGGGCGCGCTTCGTGGTTCAAGGCTTTGGGGCCTTTAGGGTGGAGTGTTCTGTGGTTTAGACAGGCACAGGTCCTGCTACAAGCTTTAAGGGCACTTAAACAAACGACCATAGGACTTAGTCAGCCGGGTGTTTGCTGCTATGAATGATACCCTAAACCCTAAACCC